ATACACAAATTTCACCCCATTTTTTGATGTTTTAGAATTTTTAGCTTTTTTAAATATATTTTTGTTTGTTAAAGTGTGTAATACCATTACATATGTTTGTATATAATCTCTAAAGCTTCACAAGTATTTTGTATTTTAAAAAATCTAAAAAAATTAAAAAAAAAGTCGCCAGCGGTAGGACTTGAATAATGGCTTTTTTGTTTCAAAGCTCTGCGCACTAAACACACTTAAGAAAATTTAAAACTATATAATAGTTTCTTTTAACAGAAATAAATGCTATAGATCAAAATTAAGGAGAGGTCGACGCAATGCGATTTACAAGTGGAAGTCAAACTGCAAAATTTGATATATGTTTTAGTATGTTTCAACATTACATAATTTGAAGTTTACATACATTAGATATTTGCATACTTTCGTTCACATTTTTTATTGAGCTAAGTGCTGCGACTCTTTCTTGCCATTACCTCGATTGCAATGGCTGCCAAGATTCAAACATGCTCGAAAGGGCACTACTACTACTACTACTACTACTACTACTACTACTACTACTACTACTACTACTACTACTACTACTACTACTACTACTACTACTACTACTACTACTACTACTACTACTACTACTACTACTACAACTACTACTACTACTACTACTACTTTAACTAATATCTTCTGTTCTCTGTTTTTGACAAATTAGTTACTATATTAAGGGTGATAGAGTCTTCTGGGCTTGTTATTGTTTTTCTAAACTGCAACTCTTTGTCCCCTTCAATTTCCCATAACTTTTTAATGGTGTTGTTTGCATCTTCTATTTCCTATGTACTAGATGTTATTTTTACAAAATGGGTTTGAAGAAATCCACCAGTACTGCCAATACATGTTCATCCAAGCGGCGCGAGTTGAGCCACTGGTTCATTAAATCCTCTTTTTACTTCCTTAATTGCACAGTGCAGATCAGCATAATCCACACCGATTAGAATATCAATTTTTGGTTTCCGCCCAAAATTTGGGAATTCGATTTTTCTAAGATAATTTCTACTTTTTGACAAATTTGTTCAATTAACTGCTTTTAAGTTTCCAGTTTCATTATTAATTGTAAAAGATTCCACTGCAATTTTTGTTCCTCCATTCAACGATTTTAACTGGAATTCCAACGGCATCATTTCAAAAGAATCAATTTTTCCATTTATCATGTTTACAGTTCCCTTTTAAGTTTTACCTTGCAGTGACAACTTAGCCGCTACATCAGATTTCAAATATGTCTTCGTACTTCTATCATCAAGCAATGCGTTTACCACAACTTTTTTATTTCCATTACAAAGAATAACTGGCACCGTTCTAAGAGATATGAAGTTCATGACGTGATTTGAATGAAATTGGATGTTCAACGTATCTTTTTCTTTAAAGTCTTCAGAAATTGTTTCATTTTGATGTCTTTTCTTGTGAAGAAACCAATTATGAGTAACTGTACAGCTGTCAATCCCACAAATACTTGTGTTCCTGCATTCTTTTGACAAATGGTTAGAATTCAAACATCTGAAGCAGAGTTTATTTTTCTTAACTGTTTCCCATCTTTCTTTAATATTTTTATTTTGAAACGTTGGACACTCCCATATTTTATGATCGTTTTTGCAAACAGAACATTTCTGTATCCAATTTATTTTATTTTTTTGATCAGTTACCAAAGTAAGAATTTCCTTAGTGTACTTTGCTACCAATAGTTTTTTTTAAACCATGTAAAGTTTCTGTTGCTGCAATTTGAAAATCTGCTTCTTCAATAATAAACTTTTTTAGAGTTTCAACATTTTTGTTTAATTTATTTTCATACACCCATCGTTTGTATCTAGTTAACATTATCTCTAGAACTTTTTTTTGCAGTTGATGATACAATGTCCCATCACCAAGTTCATCTGTTCTATTTGCTTCTTTTAAGTTTGTTACTGCCATATCTAACAAATCCGCAAACTTTTCAACGCCTCTTGAATTATTTTCCCTCATAGGTTTAAAGTTCTTCAATTCATCCAAATTTATAAGGACTTTTCTCCTTGTTCCGCCATATTTTCAAGTCTTTTTTTCGCAGCTTCATAAGCGAATGACAAATGCTCAAGTCCTTCAATTGCTTTTAATGCGCCTCCACATAAATATTGACGTAAATGAAGTAATTTATACTCAGCTGTCCCTGGGGCTTGATTATTAGATGCGTAGAATGAAGCTTTACAATTTTCATAGTTTTTTCTATCACCATTAAACATTGGTATAGAGACGCGTTTTAGTTGTTATCATAAATCTTGTCCAATTTTTGCAGTCTTTTGATCCAAACCAATTATTTCATTTTCCATTTTACGCATGATATGCGTTGATTTGATTGGTTGAATTTCGCTACTGCCATTTTCTTCTTTATAATCTTCTTATTGGTCATTACTTTTTTGGGTACTTAATCATTGATAACATTGATTTTTTGTTTCAATTTTAATTTCTTTTTCCATCCTATTGTTCTAAACTTTATTTTAAACTTCCATTGTGCAATATCCATTCATTTACATGTTCCATAGTTTCCACAAATTCGTTGTTTAGTTTTTCAATTTCTTTATTGAGTTTTCCTACATTTTATTTTGATTCCAGATGTTTGTATTTCTTTGACAATTCAACCATTATCTCGAGAGCTTTGTCTTGAGTCTTTGTTAATTGATTAATTTGTCTTGAGTCTTTGTTAATTGATCGCATAACTCATTTTTACAAGTGAGTTCGTCTCCAAGTTGCTAAATAACTTGATATTTAGTTCACATAAACAAAGACTTTAGAATTATTTTCTTCATGTTCAATGCAGATACTTCATTTTGAACAATTAACTGATCTTCCATTTGGTTATTTGATTTTTTTCTTCCGTGTTAAAGAAACTACCCTCTGCTACCAATTCTAATCGATGGCGATCACAAATAATACCGAATCACCGATCACAAATAATTCCGATTCTTCCGTGTTGAAGAAACTATCCTCTGCTACCAATTATGATCCAATGGCAATCACAAATAATACCATGTATGTATTATAAATTTTACTTTATAAGTATGTATTATAAATTATATATATATGTGTATATATATATATGTGTGTATATATATATATATATTATATACATATATATATATATATATATATATATATATATATATATATATATATATATATATATATATATATATATATATATTATACATATATATATATATATATATATATATTATATATATATACATATATATATATATATATATATATATATATATATATATATATATATATATATATATATATATATATATATATATATATATATATATATATATATATATCAGGCCTTGTATTAAATAAATAAATATATATATATATATATATATATATATATATATATATATATATATATATATATATATATATCAGGCCTTGTATTAAATAAAAAACTGTTAGCTAATCTTAAAATTATATTTTTATTAACTTTTTTAACTACTGCAATAAAATAAAGATTGTAACTTATGTTACAATCTCTAGCTTTTTTGGAAGTGAAGATGTTAAACCAAACTTTATTATCAATGTTATCTCGTAACATAAACTTTGTTATCGATCTTATTTTGGAACATAAACACTAAGGACTTTTTTAACTATCAAAATAAAATAAATTACCACAAGATAAGTTTATTTTAACTAAGAAAAACAAATCTAGTAGTGTTATTTTAAAATGTACATATTATGAAATGTTTATTTTGTTTTATTATTATTATTTTTTTTTTAATTAAATAATTAAATTTAATAATACATTTTTAATTATCTTTTAACACAAATTAATTTCTTTCTTTTTTCAATCCTTACCGTAGTTATCTACCTTTCATCTTCTAGGTTTAATTCTTCTTCCAATCTTTCTTGGAAACCATATATCAAATCAATTGCAAAATTAGCACCTGCTGAGGTTGCTTCTTTTTATAGCGCTCGACACTTACTTAATTATTTAATCTGGATTCTATTCTTTATCTCTATAATCTCTAATCTGTCCTTGTATGAAATACTGTTGCCATATTTGGTACAGATCTTCCAATGATGCACTTTCTCTTTTAGACCACGTACAAAAATGAATTGTAAACATAGTTGTGCAACTGATCTTGCGGATAATCTCCAACCATTATCACACTGTTGTAATGTTGCTTCTCTTTCTCTTTTCTACAAATACTATAATTGGCACTGCTCTAAAGAGCTAGCATCTCTTGTACTATCTACTTAAATTCATTCTTGTGTTACTCGTCATTTAATTATCTCATCCTTGTACTGTGACTGTTCCTAAGTGCTCAAAAAATTCTTATTTGTTTAGTTTTTTTTCCTCATGCATCAGTTA